ATCTTTACATACATATTTCTTTATATCGTATTTATATATATAATATATATATATATTATATATATAAATACGATATAAAGAAATATGTATGTAAAGATTTCTTTATTTGAGAGAGAGAGCACACACGCGTGAGCTGGGGGAAGGGGCAGAGGGAGAAGAAGAGAATCTCATTCAAGCAGACTCCCCTTTGAGCATGGAGCCCTACGCTTGGCTCGATCTTGATGCAGCTGGATCTCACCATCTTGAGATCACAACCTGAGCAGAAATCAAGAGTCTGACACTTAACCACCTGAGCCACACAAGCACCCCAAAGATATACTTTTTTAAAGACCCAAATCAAACTTCTACATATGAAAACTGCTATGTGTGAGATGAAAAATACAATTCATGGGATTGACAGCAAATTTGACACTGAAGAAGAAAAAAAACAAAAACAAAAACAAAAAAACCTTGTGAACTTGAAGGCATAGCAATAAAAACTAACCAAAAAGGAAACAGAAAAAGACTGAAGGCAAAAAGAACAGAGCCATCAGGGAGCAGTGAGAGAACCTCAAAAAGCCTAAAGGACAAGTAATTGAAGGTAGACTGTGATAAACTAAAGATGCATACTACAAACCCTACAGCAATTTCTAAAATAGTAACACAGTTATAGTTTATATGTAGCCAACGAAGAGGAAAACATGGAGTAAAACACACTATTAGTCCTAAAGAAGGTGGAAAATCAAGAGAAAAGGGAACAAAGAACAGATAGGACAATTAGAAAACAATTAGGAAGATGACAGACTCAAATCTAACCGTACCAATAATTATGCCAAATATACATAATCTAAACATCCTAACCAGTAAACACTATCAGATTAGATTTTCTAAAGAGCAAGGGCCTACTATGTGCTGCCTTCAAGAAATGCATATTACATGTAAAGACAAGAATAAGTTAAAAGCAAAAAGATGTAAAACATATATATACTAATAAAAAAAAGCTGGAGTGGCTATATTGACTTAAGGCAATGTATTTTTCAGAGCAAATAATATTTTTTTAAAGATTAATTAATTTATTTTGGGGAGGAGAGAGGGAGAGAATCTTCAAGCAGACTCCCCTCTGAGCTCAGAGCCCAACACAGAGCTAGGTCCCAGGACCCCGAGATCATGACCTAAGCCGAAGTCAGAGGCTTACCCCACTAAGCCACCCAGGTGCCCCCAGAGCAAAGAATATTAAGAGATAAAGAAAGTCATTTATGACCATAAAGGGATTAGGTCATCACGAAGACATAACAATTCTACATGTTTATGCAGTTAGTAACAAAGCTTCAAAATACATGAAGCAAACTGAAAAAACTGCAAGAGAAATAGACAAATCCCTAATTATAGCTGGAAATTTCAATAACCCTTCTCAACAAGGATTTACCAAACATGAATAATATATTACCCAACCTGACTTAATGGACATTTACAGAACACTCTACCCCAAAACAGCAGAATACTATCTTCTCAGGTGTCCAAGGAACATTTTGTAAAGTAGACCATATTCTGGACCATAAAAGAAAAAGAAATCAAGTCATGCAAAGAATGTTCACTAACCACAACAGAATTAAATTAGAAGTAACAGGGGCGCCTGGGTGGCTCAGTGGGTTAAGGCCTCTGCCTTCGGCTCAGGTCATGATCTCAGGGTCCTGGGATCGAGCCCCACATCGGGCTCTCTGCTAAGCAGGGAGCCTGCTTCCTCCTCTCTCTCTCTGCCTGCCTCTCTGACTACTTGTGATCTGTCTGTCAAATAAATAAATAAAAATCTTTAAAAAAAAAAATTAGAAGTAATAGACACATGGAACATTCCCAAATATTTATGAACTAAATAACACACTTCTAAACAACACACAGATCAAAGAATAAAACATAAAAGAATGCAGAAAGTGTTTTGAACTCAAGGAAAATGAAAACACAATGTACCAAAATGAGGGATGCTGCTAAAGCAGTACTTAGGAAGACACTATAATATTGAATCCTATGTTACAAAATTTAAAGAGAGAAGGTCTTGAATCAGTGACCTCAGATTCACCTTTAGAATCTAGAAAAACAGCAAATTTAACACAAACTAAGTAGAACAAACAAAATAAAGATCCAAGTGGAAATCAGCGACACAAAACTGACAAAAATCAATAAAAAAAAAAATCAGCAAAAGCAAAAACTGGTATTTTGTGAAGATCAATGCAACTTATAAATCTCTGGTTGGATTAATCAGAAATAAAAGAGAAGAAATAAATTAGCAATATTAATTCAAAAAAACTGCAGATAAAAGGATAAGAAAATATTATTAACAACTTTATGCCATAAATGTCTATAGCTTAGATAAAAATTGACAAATTTCTTGAAAGAGACAAATTAACAACGCTCATTAAGGAGAGGAACTGAAACTGTATTCTAAAAGTTATCATGGGGGGCACCTGGATGGCTCCGTGGGTTAAAGCCTCTGCCTACGGCTCAGGTCATGATCCCAGGGTCCTGGGATCTGGCCCGGCATTGGGCTCTCTGCTAGGTGGGGAGCCTGCTTCCCCTCTCTCTCTCTGCCTGCCTCTCTGCCTACTTGTGATCTATCTGTCAAATAAATAAAATCTTTTAAAAAAATAAAAATAAAAAATAAAAGTTATCATGGGGCACCTGGGTGGCTCAGTGGGTTAAGCCTCTGCTTTCGGCTCAGGTCATGATCTCAGGGTTCTGGGATCAAGTCCTACAACAGGCTCTCTGCTCTGCTTGGCAGGGAGCCTGTTTCCTCCTCCTCTCTCTCTCTCTCTGCCTGCCTCTCTACCTACTTGTGATCTTTCTCTGTCAAATAAATAAATAAAATCTTTAAAAAATAAATAAATAAATAAAAGTTATTAGAAAGAAAACTCCACACCTAAGTGGTTTCACTGGTGAATTCTACCAAATATTTAAGGAAGAAATATTTAAGGAAGAAATTCTACCAAATACTTCTACACAAATTCTTCCAAAATACTCAAGAGGACAGAATGCTTTCCAACTTATTCAATCAATGGACAGTCACGACAAGAAAACTGCAGATCGATACCCCTTACAAACATAGTGCAAAAATTCTAAACAAAATTTTAACAAAAGAGAATCCAAAATACAGTAAAAGAATACAAATGACCATATGGTTTTTATTCAAGGAATGCAAAGTTGGTTGAACATTTGAAAAATTAATGTAATTCACCATATTAAGAAACTAAAATAGAAAAACCATAAAGTCCTCTAAACCAACATAGAAAAAGCATTTGTCACCCAGCAATTGCACTACTGGGTATTTACCCCAAAGACAGAGATGTCATGAAAAGTGCCATATGTACCCCTATGTCCATAGCAGCAATGTCCACAATAGCCAAACTGTGGAAGGAGCCAAGATGCCCTTCAACAGAGTAATGGATAAAGAAAATGAGGTTGGTTCATATACACAATGGAATTTTACTCAGTCATCAGAAAGGATGAATTTCCAACTTTTGTATCAACATGGACAGGACTGGAGGAGATTATGCTAAGCAAAATAAGTCAAGCAGAGATAGTCAATTATCATAGGGTTTCACTTCCTTGTGGAACATAAGGAATAGCATGGAGGACATTAGAAGGAAAGGAAAAATGAAGGGGGAGGTGGAAATCGGAGGGGAAGATGAACCATGACATACTGTGGGCTCTAAGAAACAAACTGAAGTGTTTAGGAGGGGAGAGGGGTGGGGGGAATGGGTGAGCCTGGTGGTGGGTATTAAGGAGGGCACATACTGCATGGAGCACTGGGTGTGGTGCATAAACAATCTTGGAACATTGCGCCAAAAACTAACGATGTATTTTATGGTAACTAACATAACACAATAGAAAAGGAAAAGAAAAGAAAAGAAAAAGCATTTGTCAAAATCCAGCACCCACTCTTGATAAAAATTCTCAGCAAGCTAGGCACAGAACATTCTCAATGTAATAAAGGGCATTTACAAAATAAAACAAAACCTATGATGGTTTTAACTGAGAAATATTGAATGCTTTCACTTGAGATCGCAAAAAAGACAAGGATATCTGCCCTCACCACCTGTCCTCAACATTAAATGCCAGTGAAGTTAGGCAAGAAAAAGAAAGAAAAGGTATCCAGACAGGAAAGAAAAAAGTAAAACTGTATTTATTTGTAGATGGCATGTCTACGTAAAAATCCAATGGAATCTACCAAAAACAAAACAAAACAAAACCAAAACCAAACACAACAACAACAAAAACTAGAATTACTTTGTCCAAGGAAAGAGAACACTCCTGTGGACAGAGGTGAAAAGGGTCTTCACAATATGTAATGATGCAGATTTCTACTTCTCAGCCTCCACTGCAAATCTATCCCAATCAATCCCCCACACTTGCCTTTCCATCCTGATTATGTTTAAGTTTGGGCATTCTGATCTCTCCGTCCCTCTCAACTCCACCTCCTCTGCCCGAACACACCTGATAGTGACAGCAGCACAATGAAAGCCACAAGACTGTCAAACGGGAACCTCGGGAAGGAGCTCCCATGCACCTCCCCGCGGCCTGCCGGCTGTTAACGCTTTTCTACCACAACTCCCTACTGGCTATTTTCACTGCTTGCAGAGCAAAGCATCAGCTAAGGGGCCGGTCCAAACCAGTCTCCTCCAAGATCCACACGAGTGCTGAACTTTCACGACTTTTCCCTCATTATAATACTAAAACTCATACCCAGGGGTGGAGATTTAACAAGTTCATTACGCAAGCGATGCATGAAGAAACATGACCTTTAAGTGTGTAGGTGCTAATAAATGCCCGGCTCTACTTGCTTAGACGGCACAATCTTCCTATCTAAGTATCTTATTAAAAATTCTCCTTGGGGGGCGCCTGGGTGGCTCAGTGGGTTAAAGCGTCTGCCTTCGGCTCAGGTCACGGTCCCAGGGTCCTGGAATCGAGCCCCGCAACGGGCTCTCTGCTCAGCGGGGGCCTGCTTCCCACCGCCCCCCTCGCCTGCCTCTCTGCCTAGTGGTGATCTCTGTCAAATAAATAAGATCTTTAAAAAAAAAAAAAATAGTGGGGTTTAAAAAAAAAAAAAATTCTCCTTGACCTCTCCTCGGAGTCAGCCTGAGGATTCTTTGTGCTGCTCCCCTGTGCTCGAGCTTAAGCCCCAATAAAGCCCTTCTTGTGACTTTAAATTTGGGGTGCAGTCTCGTTTCTACGGATGCTGAGTCCAAGGACCCAAGTCCCGTAAGACCTGGACAACTCAAGCTCTGGATGCGGACTGACATCTGCTCTCACTTGCCATCTAAGGGTGGGAGGGCCGGTAAGGGGGACGACGGAGGCAGAGAGGATGCTCGCTCACCTGGCGCCACATGATCTGGAGCATGGCTGGGGTCCCCACTTCACACAGCGCCTTCGGGGTTCGAGGTGAGGCTGAAGAGAAAAAAAGAGGCACGAGTAGGGCTGCTGCTGCTGCCGAGCACCCCTCAAATGCCGTCTTCCGCCGGGGGCGTCCTCTGTCCCAGTACCCCCTCACCCCAGAGCCACAGGGACTGGGGAACCAGGTGCTCGAGAACGCCGTGGGGATGTAGCCCCGTTAGCCGGACCCGGAGCCCAACCGACCGCTACCGCCGAGCACCGCAGATACAGGGAACGGGTGGAAGGGCTGCGAACCTGCGCTCCCGGGAAAGCTTAGGACCCGCTCCGCCGGAAATACGTAGAGCCGTTTTCCCCTCCTCTCTAGGAACATGAAAACGTGAGCGTCTCCGTGGTTCCCCAGCGGAGCTGCCACAGCCGCTGTTCCTTCTCTCTGAGACTGCGAGCCAGAGTTGCGGGCTCCAGGCTCGGGCCCTGCAGCGCCCTCTCTCTGTAGGTCCTCCCGGGGACATGGTCTGGCCCCCTCAGACCACCGAACGTTTGCAATCACAGGAATCAGCCAGGCTTTCCTGACATTTACCACTCCTGGCTGCTCTTCAGGTCCTGAAGCTGCCTAGCTAGGTTCTGTGGCGGCGCTGCAGTGGGAGGCCCACTGCAGTATGCGGGGCCCATCATTTGAACAGCCAAAGGTTCATTAGTGGAGAGCATGGACTACATAGCTCCAGAAACCTGGCTGTACCACGTCTTAGCTGTGTGAGCAGCAGCTTACACAATAGTGATACCAACCGCAAAGAACTGTTGAGGTTTAATAATTAGCTAATGGATTAGCAAAGTATTTACAGTAGTGCCTGGCGCACAGTAAATGCTTGCGGGTTGTTTTCTTTTCTTTTCTTTTAAGATTTTATTTATTTGACAGAGAGAGAGACCACAAGTAGGCAGAGAGGCAGGCAGAGAGAGAGAGAGAGGAAGGGAAGCAGGCTCCCTGCTGAGCAGAGAGCCCGATGCGGGGCTCGATCCCAAGACTCTGAGATCATGACCTGAGCCAAAGGCAGAGGCTTAACCCACTGAATTAACCAGGCGCCCCTGTTTTGTTTTTCTAATTGTCTTTTTTGCTTTCGAAGATACAAGTGCTGTTGAGACTTCCAAGATGTGGCACAGTTTAGGGAAAACTTCATGCAACATTTACATATGGTTGAGTAAGATTTAATTAGCCAAGTTTTACAAAATTTTATTGAAAATGGGGTAACCACAGAAAGCAGAAGCAGGTGTGTTTGGGTGGCTCAGTTAGTTAAACATGTGACTCTTGATTTTGGCTCAGGTCATGATCTCAGTGTCCTAAGATCAAGCCCCATATTAGGATACTGGAATGGGTCCTTCTATATCAGAGAAACTCATCTTTTGTGAGCCATGCTTTTATACTCAACCTAATCAGAAGAATTTATACACACACACACACACACACACACACACAAATGTATACACTGTTGTGTAAAGGAATGTTTATAAATTCTGGACCCTTTGGTCATCCCTACAATACAGCCAGAATCTGTCAGGTAGCAATAGTGATTGCAGTGCCCAGATGTCACTCAAAATACCTCTATCTCCAGTTACTCTAGCAACTCGGAAAGTCCTTTTCCCTGTACCATGTAAATAGTGCTCACTACAGAGCCAAATGGTATGTAAAGATTATATCTCTTTTATTGCACAACTTTTAAAAAATTCCTAGTTGCATATTTTCTACTGCTGACTTTATGATATCCTAGTTTTGGGTTTTTTAGGGTTTGTTGTTGTTGTTGTTTTACAAACCCTTCTTGGTATTGTTGCTGGGTGAACTGGGGAGACCTCAGGCCCTGGGGCCTTGACCCAGCCAGACCCAAAGGAGTTGCTGAGAGTTCTTGGACTTGTCATGAGAATGAACTCAAAGACAGACACACAGCACAGTGGTTAAGTGACACAAGAGGTAAAGTTTATTAAAGTGAAAAGTGCACTCTAGAGATAGGAGAGCTGGTGAGCTCGAGAGAGAGAGAGATGGATGCCCAGGGGGTTGGGTTTCTATCTTGTATTGACAGTTGTTAACTAGAGGGCAGAATCTTCATTATCTGGGGTGTGAAGCAGGGTTTCCTACCTTTTCTTCCTAATTTGGTCAGGAGTTTCCTGTTATGGCATCCACCATCTTGGACTTGTTTGGTTTGACCCAGCTTATTGTGGAGTGCTGCCAGGACAGGACTCTGACCTTCCTAATAGTTGGCCATGACTTCCTTAGTGCTGGCCTCCAGGTGTCCTATTAGAACCTATCTGTCTGCCCTTAACAGTATGAACGCACAAATTTCCAGCCCTGCTGCTGAGCATGGACTGTTGAGCATGGACAATTGTCATGCTGAATCCACAATTTCCCTTCAACGGACCCATGCTTTTCTGGACATGATGTCCTCCTCATTCTTCCTTCTTCTGCTGAGCACACCCTTTAATAATGATGTTTAGTCATATCTTCAAGGCCATTTATATATAGAAATGTCCTGCTCCCTTTTATATCTCCCCGGCCTGGCTTTTATGGACTCAAACTTTCTTCTAAGGAAACTTTCCCTCACACTCAGCGTATCTTCTTTCATTCTGCTATCATTTGCCCAATGTTCCTGTTCTGACTACAAGCCTAAATCCTATTTCCAAAACTAATTCCGTTAGTCACTGAGTATCTGAGAAAAACTTTTCTGTTACGTGTTGGAAAAGCATTTACATTTTTTTTTTCTTATCTGTACAGTTTACAAAGGTTTTTCTCTCCATCAAAGATGTTATCTTTCCTGTGTTGTATATAAGGCATTATTCTAGATGGGCTTTTATTGTTTTATCTTGTCATTGATTAAAAAAAAAACCCACTAGCCCACTGCAGAATAGGTCTCTGAAATCTACTATTATGATCAACTTCTTTATAAATAAACTATCTTCCCATGAAGGACTATTACAAACAATTTAAGACATACAGTCTCAGTGTTCCCATCCCCATATGATGGGCTATGACTAGGACAAATTTCTGTCCATCAACTAGAGCCACAGAGATCCCATATTTTTCTCTCCTGCTCTAAACTGCTACAATACAATGGTTTTTCAGAGGTTTTCTTCATAAGTAGTACTGGAAAACACAGTTAATAAATATAATTTTCAGAAATCAAAATCATTGTCTTTTTTCCTACGGTTTTTTTTTCTTTTTTTTTTTTTTTTTAAGAGATCTGGGATTGACTCAGACTGTATCTGGATACACTAATCTTGTATTTTTATTTTTTTTTTCTCCTGAATCCTACCTACTGCCTACCCATTATAAAAGAATGAAAGAAAAGTTCCCTGAATCCCCCTGTGAGGGTCATTAGCAGGCTAAACAGACAACCCATAAAGAGAATTCACAGTAGATGCAGGGAAGCTTTCTTGCCAAAATAGTCTTAAGTCCTTCCTGCGGGAGAGCCCTTCCTGAGAAGGCACTGCTTCAGAGTGACAGCAAGGCTGAATTAAAAGTGGCAATGCTACATAAAAGCTCTGTATAGTTTGAGAAATTGGGATAGGCTGAGAAGAATAGGAAAGGCCACAATGTACTCTTCTGGATTTTTAAAAATCTTGCTTAATGGACTTCTTTCAAATGAAGAAAGCCAGTTTCCATCCCAGTTACGACCATGATTTCCTCATAGAGTTTATCATTAGGTCACTCTTTAGAAACATTACATATGGGGCGCCTGGGTGGCTCAGAGGGTTAAAGCCTCTGTCTTCGGCTCAGGTCATGATCTCAGGGTCCTGGGATCGAGCTCTGCATAGGGCTCCCTGCTCAGCAGGGAGCCTGCTTCCTCCTCTCTCTGCCTGCTTCTCTGCCTACTTGTGATCTCTGTCTGTCAAATAAATAAATAAAATCTTTTTTAAAAAAGAAAAAGAAATATTACATATTCAGGAAACGTGGGTGGCTCAGTCAGTTAAGCGTCTAACTCTTGATTTCAGCTCAGGTCATGATCTCAGGGTTATGGAATTGAGCCCCACATGGGACTCAACAATCAGTGCGAGTCCACTTGGATTCTTGCTCTTCTCCCTCTGTCCTTCCCAACTCATACATGCTTGGTCTCTCTCTGACATAAATAAATAAATAATACCTTAAAAAAAAAGAAACATTACGTTTTCTTATAGAAACAATGAATGATAATGTTCTGTATGCTCTCCCGGGCTAGTTCATGGGAGCCTAAATTCCTCTAACTGTAATTAAAATACATCTCTGTATTGAAAATAGTGGAAAATTAAATTATCCCATTATATGAAATAAAAGGTGTGTGGCTGGAGGAGGGTGGTAACACAAATATGTGGCGGCATGTGCAGAACCCTTGCAGGAATGGATCCCTGGGGAGTGTCCTATCTAATTCAGGGCGGATGCTCCACTGAGCCTTCACCAAATGTCCTACAATACTTTAAGAATGACCATCTTCGGGGTGCCTGGGTGGCTCAGTGGGTTGAGGCCTCTGCCTTCAGCTTGGGTCATGGTCCCGGGGTCCTGGGATCGAGCCCCACATCGGGCTCTCTGCTCTGCGGGGAGCCTGCTTCCTCCTCTCTCTCTCTCTGCCTACTTGTGATCTCTGTCTGTCAAATAAATAAATAAAATCTTAAAAAAAAAGAATGACCATCTTCATCCCCCACAGCAGCCATTTGAGAAAGAAAACAAAGAGAAAGTAGAAGTAGGAAAGGAAGCTCACAGGTTCTCCTACTTACCTGTACTGACATCTATCAGGACCTTTCTTTTTTCTGAGATTTTATTTATTTATGTGTCAGAGAGTGAGAGAGTGAGTGCACAAGCAGGGGAAGCAGCAGGCAGAGGGGGATGGAGGCTCCCTGCTTGGCAGGGAGCCCAATGCAGGGCTTGTTCCCAGGACCTTGGGATCATGTCCTGAACTGAAGGCAGACGCTTGACCAACTGAGCCACTCAGGCATCCCTCTCAGGACCTTTGTGCCAACCTGTGTCCAGGGATCTGGGCCCATGAGACCTCCCCTTGCTCTAGCAAAGCTATCAGAACAGGAGAGTACCGGGAATCAGAGTTGATTCTGGAACTCCTTTCAGCCCATCCTCTGCTTTTAGCAGGTGGAAAGGGAAGTGGAACACCCAGGAGGACAAGGTAGGTGGGTCTTAGGAGCCCTTGCACCTGTCTCACTCGGGAAGAAACTTAAGAAACTTACCTTACGAGGGCCTATCTGAATATGCGCTAAAATAGGGGTAGCAGTAGAGGACCAAGATCTCAAGAAAACAAGGGTGAGGTAGGAACCAAGGGTTTAAGGAGGGCATCAGAAAACATTTCATTTCCCATTTTGCCCAGAGTCTC